AAAGAGATTGTTAGGCAAGGCGCGTTATAGCGCGGTCAAAGGCTATTTTCCAAATCACTTGCGCGGAGATACCACGGCGCTTAAACGAGTTGAATTCACTCATTGCTTTTGCGCTATTAAAGTGCAGGAGCATTTGATGCCGCTATAGAGTGGATCCGGTTCTGATGGAGAGGGTTACCTAAACAATCTAATGTGCTGGTAGCGCCTGACTATTCTTTGTAGCAAGATGATAATTTTGTTTTAATAATTTTCCTCTAATATGCCAGATGCGCAATCCTACAGCTAAAAGTATGAAAAAGCAGAAGCCAGAGAAGTGATTTTATTGAATGCAGTGTCGGTGGTCTATAAAGCCAGGTCGCGTGAGACCGCTTACGAATGTAGTAAAAAAGAAATAGAGTTATACGTTAACCAGAAGGAGACGCAAGCACGTATGGTGCTCTTCATATCCTTACTAGGTATACAACTATTCACCTTTACGAGCCAGTAGGATGCAAATCGCTCTGTTGGTGATGAACGGGTATTTCATCTATCCCTAGTACCAGAGCATTTCTTCTATAAAGCAGAGTTACTGTTCTGAACCGCTGAAACACTAGTGGCTCAAAAAGCTTTTTCTAAACTTATCTTTGACTCAGTTCGAGCGTCAGTAATTTCTTATGAGGAAATCAAGGTGCAGTGACGACGCTATCCAAACCAGTTGCTTTCTCGGGCGCTGCTCGATGAGAAAGAAGTGGCCTTTTCTATGAGGTATTAGCAAGTTCACCAGGCCGCTATAGCTATCTAATGTAGTGGTATTGGTGTTTTCACATCAAATATTTATTGCAGTCTACAGATTTTACAGCATCGCCGTGGCACCGTCGCCGTATATATCCTGGCGCAGATTTGACTTCATATCGCCTAGAATAGAGTCAGAGATGCCCGTTGTGCTTTTTGCTTTTATCCTGCCCATAAAGGAGACAGGGTTGCGTAACACTCACTCTGTTTCTATCTATCCTGAAAACGAGTCAGGAATGCCTGGCGTATTAAGCTTACCACAAGCAAGTGGAGCTTTGCTTTGTTTCAAAACGAGTTCTGGTTGTGAGGTGAAAATATCTGTCATGGAGAGGGGTGGAGCTGTCAACAACAAGACTTACAGTTGAGGAGCTTCCACTTTGTCGTCCATGTCGTACTTTTTATTTCGCAAACACCATCAAGCGACGCTCTTGATGAGCAAATGTTCACTGTGGGTGACTTGAAAAGCTGAGATAATAATTAGGCGACTCACTTTTTTTACTCAGTTCACGCATTGGGTGCTTTCACCTTCTTCCTTTTTTTACCAGAATATGAAATCTGACTACGGGCTTCCACGACTGCCGCTGCTTCAAATATAAGCAGCACACTAGATGAAGTGTGACCTATCGTTGTGTGAAGAGCTCTTAAAGCTCATTTTTTTCGCTCTCATTTCACACACAATGCAAGAAAAAGACCCGCTCGAATTGACGTGTACATGCTCCACCCAAGCGGCGTAGAACATTGGATTATATATCGTTCAACAATAGTCGTAGCTACCTCTGCACTAGCAGACGAGCATTTTGGGCTCAGCTCTACATAGACTAGACGCCGCAGGGAGCTTCGTGACAAGGGGGTTACAATATAACACACGAGCAAAACACAATTTCTTTTTCGATGCCACATTTTACTGTTAAGGTGATGTTTAAGTGACAAAAATTTCACCAATAGACTGCTGTCGAAAACATAAAAGATCACCACGGTGTTCAAGGTTAATCTTTCATGACGGATAATTCTTGCCTACCAACCTCTTCAAACAAGGCTGAAATTTTTGTCCTGTAGCGAAGGAAGTGTCGACGAGACTGACAAATTTCCGCTTTGTTCGGCGAGTATTACTCCCTGGCAACCGTTGATCCCATTTTCAGAAGTGCTTCGCCGCCTGTAACAGTTAGACGCCAAGTGAAAATGTGATTTGTGCAGGAGTTCTCGTGCCGCATCACTAATAAACTTATTGATCGCAACATTTCATATAGCTCTTGTGTCGGCACTATCATCGCCAGCTGATAGAGGAACTGTTGCCTTTTGACAGACTGACGATAATTCTGAGAGGTGTACATCAAAAGTGTATCATACCATGACATGGAAATAAATGTCGAACCTCGTCTTATTCTATCTTTATCCTTTGGTTGGTAACGCTCAACGGACTTGCTAAAACTTTGGCATTATTGTTAGCATATTAATCAACTGGATCCGACAGAAGCAGTATTTTGATAAGTGGTACCATTATATATGCATTTATTGTATTCAAGATTCTATGCTCGATTTTCATCTTCGCTTAGGGAAATTTACGATATTGTTGGCTGGACAAGCATCGATCAGAAGTTTGAAGTCGGTCATTCTGCCATATTAACCTTCGTCATTTTTGACCGAAAGTCGACATATGACCTAAATAAAGAGTTCCTGTGACATATTTTCACTTATATCGCAAAAGTCAAGACTGCAGGATCAGGAAGAAGAGTAAAATATCCAGAGTAGGGTGAGTTTGTTGTCGCACGAGCTTTGAAAAATCACTAATTGTCGGACCGCTGTGCAAGTCTTCGACTTGTACTATGTGCTAGCAAAATTTGGCAATGAATTAGATGCTGATCGGGCTAATTTTTGGGAGCTCAGAATGTGTATACATTTAGGAGCGCTATGTCCGCGTCATCTCTGTGATTGTCGCTTGTATTGACTATCCATCATTTTTTTATCCGTTAAGAGTCAGTTTTTCAGACCGTGCCACTCGATGGGTGGTAATTACCCGAAAATTAACATCCTATATCAGGCAAAACATGTCAACAGATGGTGTTACGCGATTCATCAATGCTGATGAAGTGCGTTTAGTTTTAATTGAGAGAATTCTAACCGCTCCAAACGAATGTTCATCGTGTCTGATCAATTGAGTCGCACCGAGACCTACCGCGTCGATATAGCTTCGTTGAGGAATCGCTAGACGTTACAACGTAAGCGGAAAACAGCTCTCGTGCCGTAAAAAGGCCGAATGGGGTATTCAAAAACCGCTTTCAGTGTCTCAATTAGCTCTTTCAAGCACGCTTTGAGATGATGGGCTTGAGGGTTTGGTGAGAAGGAAGCAAAATATACTTTTGCTGCCGAGCAGATCCGCTGTACTCACAGATGTGCCGTATGGTGGTGTACAAAATTTTTGCAAAATTTTGCACCTTAAGTGCCCGCTTTGCTTTCGATGAAGAGATACGAGAGGTAAACCATCCACAAAAGGGCGTACAAGAAAACCGAAGATATCAAATCTTAGTAGGCTCAAAGCAACTAACTGGAAAAGAATGTTTTGGATTGTACCTCATGGGACCCAGCACAAAAAGAACAACGTTCTCTCGGAACGTAGAAGCTGATAGACCAGGGCATTTTATTCTTGATTTCGTATTCCCGGGCTTTGCAAAGTCGTTTTTAAATCTGATAGATTGAGAAATGACGTGCACATATTCATGACGCGCTGCTATTAGAAGTAGCATACTGAGGCACTGAAGATGCCAAAGACAAATACGATATCCGTTCGGCTTGCGATACATACACCCGTCAAATGCAAAATGTTTTGTTGAGCTTTCAAGTGTAATTTCTGAACTTTGTTGGCGTGGAACGATATCTCGTTCTAGATCCAGATTCGAGACAATATCCAGTCTTAAGACTGGCGTGGCTAAACATGAGCCATGGGTCGACCGCGAGTCGAAGAAGTTTAAGTGGCGCGAACCTCTCTCGGCTGTCGGAATTGTCGATTGGCGATGTTGCTAAAGGCCTCAAGTCAAGCGCTAAAGGCAGAAACAATAGTGAATAGTATCTCAGAATGGGTCAAATGTTAATAAACACATATCGCGGTCTTCTAAGTGTACCTCTGTGGCGACAAAAGAGATAAAGTAGATGTTCTGGTCCGATAGCGTAACTTTGGTAGGACAGAACAGCTGTAAGCTTGTGTAGGGTCGAAATAGAGTGAAAGCGATTAGATCTCGTCAGAGCTGGTAGGATTGAAGAGCTACTGCAAGTAGTAAGTAAAAATGGCTAAGCCCAAATACTAAGAGATGACTTAAATGTAAAAAATTGCTGAGTTAGCATTAGCGTGTGGCGGAAGCACCGCGCGGCCAAACAGGCAAGTGGCGAGATGGACTCCTCAATCGATAAATGAATGATTAGGGTGCATCCTGTGGTTGTAAACTCTCCCTCACTTCATCCAATAAAGCTTTAGCAAGCTGCAGAAAATATATATATGCAAGGAATTCCAAGACAACAAGGTTGCCAAATCGATAAGCTATGTACCAGGGGAGAGCCGAGCTCGTCATCCGCAATAGATGAATCAATCATTGGGGATACTCGCCGAACACTGAATGCAAGTAGCTATACAGCTATCCGCATTGATTATACAGATCATTTTTACCCTTTGTGAAAGATTACTATGCTGCAACGAGAGTTCACTTCAGGTGTTACACCAAATCGGATAGCACGCCAAGAAAGAGCACTTGATCTCTGGTCACCCGATATTACCTTAATCAAGAAAGCAGTGTGACGTTAAATACGAGGCTTTTATCACAAGAACAAGGAGTTTTTCGAAAGGAACCATGTCTCCTGATTGGCCCCGACTTTTTTTGTCGAGAAGACTCACCGCTTTTGTGTAGAAAAACTAACGAGTAGCGTATAGTGGATGCTTGTAATATGCTGGGCTCATTCTCGATTCCAGTGAAGACATCCAATCCTACAACATATGTTTTGAAAAGGAATAGAGTCAGCTGCCTCTTATTCAGTGCTTTCTACTTAGTCCTTGGTGGTGGTCATCTGCTTGGAAGTGGCAGTGATATCCCCCCACTGCGGTAGGTACCCCTTGCAGGTTACCTAAGAGTGATACAAAAATGCCACGCAGACTGTCTAGACACCAGCAAATCGTCTGGTAATCCAGCTTTTCAGGCTACATCATAGCTATGCACAAATGTATATCGGCAATATATTAGCCCAGAGTTCTGCAGATCACGGGAAGTCAGATCTGGGTTACCACATGAGACACTTGCGAAGCGCTCGAGTGTATACATTAACATGAATCATTCACGTATATAGATAAGTGTGTCTCTGGCATTGACTACAAACTTTTTAGTTTGTATGAATGTGACTCATGGCCCGCGAACAGATCTCGCGAAATCTTGGTCATTGCCTTTCGGCCAGTTATCTGGCTGAAAAGATCTCATGAAAACGGCTTGGACTGGACAGCTACGTACACAAATATAGTGCAAAATGTGCCAACATTGCACAACCTCTTATCAATTTTATTTGATCAATTGTCAGATGATGCTTGGATGCAGCAGGAGGGGCGGAGTTTGAAGCTGTTTAAAACGGTAAACACGCTCGTACGCGCTTTATTATGGTTCTTTCAAATCCAGAGCAGACATTTCACGTCATATGTGATGCTTTAGGCTTTGCAATTGACTGTGCTTTACATCATCAGATAAAAATAGAAATGAGCGCGTAACATGTTTGAGTCTCGACAGCTTAACACCTTCAAGTCGACATCCGCTGAAATGAAGCTGGTTTGCAACGGATGATGTGGCCTGATTTCCTCACCGAGTGAGCACTTGAGTCGGATACGCAGCGGCACTTTCTGAGCTATTAGCATTAAAGGGACATCAATCATGGATCAGATGGATTTCTTATACCGTTGCTGCTCCAAGCGCAGACAGTACTTCCGGGAAGTGATGACCTGGTGGATGTGAAGGCACTCATGGACTTTCTTTTTTGCGCTCGTTTCGCATCGGTTTTACCGAAAGGTTTACATGATGCATCTAGGAAACAATGCAGTCAGGGAATTTGAAATGGGCAACACGGTAATTAAGACTTGATTTGAGCTAATATTGGTCCTATTCTTGTCCTTGCCGGTGAGATATTTGGGTCTTTAGGGCCAGATTCAGCTTGTTGGAAGCGGGTTGATATCGGTGTGGGCTCCGTGCAGGATGTCAAAACTTTCGCGCCAAGGCAAATAGGTACAGAGCCCGAGACTCGTACAGCGGGGAAACTGAGTACAGTGACTACCTCCTCATTGGTATACGATATTGCCGTGTCAGAGTGGTAATGTTTGGTTGAAACGCGGAGAATCACTGGGACCATTCTTTTTCGAAAACACCAAGGCATCTCATCGAGAAGTCCTTGAAGCGCACCCGTCACGAAGACCGTGCTTTTGGCGAAGACTCGTCGAGCTAGTTAATTTGGTGCATGGTAGCGGACCCCTAGTGCAAGTACATTTAAGAGAGCAGGCACGGCAAAGTGCAAAGAGCGGAGTGGCGCTGCAGGCGCTGTGGATGCCCAGGGGCTGTCACTTTTGCACAGTGTTATAAAAAGACAAGTAATGTGTGATCATTATTGTGGTCCACATCTTGTTGGATGAGGGTTTTACGAGGCATATACTGTAATCGTATGTACTTGACTCTTACACGTTTGATCTTATTGTGTTAGCTTTGATGCGGCATGAATGCACTAAGTTTGCATTGTACTTTGGTTTAGTTTTGAGAATGCACAAGTGCAGGTATATCGGATATATGAAGATAATGGAAATCCGCAACGGTGGAAGCTGCGGTTCACGTAGACTCATAGCAGCATTTCAGATAAAAAAAGCTTGTTTTAATAAACGGTTAAAGTATTTGCACTAAGTTTAAGTCCAGACATATTTAATTTAGTATATGTTCATGAGTAAAGCAAATTGAGAGGGCTGTTTTTACGCTCTCAGATCTGATCCAGGTATTAGCGCACAAACCCAACCCATTTGCGCTTGATAGCGCGGATTTTGATAGTCAAAGCTTTCTCTGTGCGAAGTGCACGACAACCCCTTGCTCTTGGTGCATCTGATTATTACACATCATCTATACACAGTAACTAAACGATATGTAATGCATAGCACGAGACAAAGTACCACGGACCTCACTTAGCAATAGCTAGTGCAGTGTTCGTTACGTTG